CGCGCCCCGCCCTCCCCCTCCCACGCTCACTCACAGTCGCGCACGCGGGATGCTTCCCGCTACGCCCCAGGGACGTGGGCTGGAGACACGAGCCTCTCCTGGGCACACAGGGGCTGGTGCCGCACACCACGGCGACACCTGTACTCGCGCTGTGACACGCGCCATTCTGACACACGTGCCAAGAGCCGCACGCGCTCTCACCCTCACTCACCTGCGGAGACCGCGTGGGGGACTGTGAAGGGCTGATCCCGCCAGGTGCAATCGCAGTAGCAGTGATGCAGGCGAAAAATTTTTAACTCCTTCCCTGTCTGGACCAGACGGCTCACTGCAAGGCTTGGGGCACTCCGCTAGGGCTCAGCAGTGCGAAGCACCGTATGGTTTGGCTCAAAGAATTTCATTATAATATGAATTTAAACTGTTTTCTCTTGAGCTAAGAAAGATTCAAAACAGAGATTAGTGTACACATCCTGTCCCCAACATTGAAGAAACTGTTCTGTGCCACTAACATTGATGCACATTCTTTTTTCTTTATTAAACTTATTGATATATATTAGGTATACAATAGTTACATTCATCATTGGGATCTTGTACCTATACATAACTTAGCAGTGTCTTATTTTTCCCCATTCTCCAGTCCTACCCTTAGCCCCTCCATCCTTCCCTGTTTACAAAGACACTGTGTTTCCATGCTTTTCCTTTTCGCGTATTTTTTCTTTTCCCTTTTTACCTTTCCCCTTCCGCTCCCATTTCCTCTATTCTATTAGACTTTTCTTCCTATTACACAATATTAATTATACATTTTAATCCTTATTTACACTTCTACTTTTTCACACCAGAGAAACTATTTGGTATTACACATGTGTGTCCTATTTATTTCACTTGAGTATGGCTTCAGTATGCATCCATTTACCTATAAATGACTAGTTTCTCATTCTTTATGGCTAAGAGCACTCCATTTTAAAGAAAACTCACATTTTCTTTATCCAGTCTCCAGTTGATGGGTCCTTGAGCTGTTTCCAAGTTTTAGCTATTACAAACTGTGCTACTATAAACATGGTTGTACATATATTGCTGTGGTATGATTCTTTTGATTCTTTTGGAAAGATACCCAGCAGGGGAATAGGCGGGTCAAATGGGGCTTCTGATCCTAGTTATTTAACGTATCTCCATATTGCATTCCACAGTGGTCGCAACAGTCTGCCCTGCCACCAACAATGAAGAGGGATTCCTCTCTCCCCACAACCCTGCCAACATTTGTTATTGGTTGATTTCTTGATAGCAGCCATTCTTACTGGGGTTACGTGAAATCTAAGTGTTGTTTTCATGTTCATCTCTCAAATGACCAGCGATGTGGAACTTTTTTTCGTCTGATTATTTGCTTCTTTCACTTCTTTGTCAGAGAAATGTCTGTTCATTTCAGATGCCCATTTTTGAATTGGGTCTTTTTATTTGGGGAGTCTGATTTTTTTTTTGAGTTCTTTATATATTCTAGATAGTAGACCTTTGTCTGAAGAGCAGCTGGTAGAAATTTTTTCCCACATTGTGGGTTGTCTCTTAGCTCTGCTTGTGATTTATCTGGCAGTGCCAAAGCTTTTTGATAGATGAGATCCCAGTTGTTGATTCTTTGTGCTAGTTCCTGTGCTACTGAGGATTAGTTTAGAAAATTATTTCCTATACCGATATCTTCAAGAGTTGTACCTAATTTATTTTCCAGCAAGTTTAGTGTTTCTTTTTTAATATTTATATCTTTAATTCACTTGGATTTTAGTTTAGTGCATGGTGAAAGATACGGATCTGGTTATAATCTTTGACAAGTTGAAAGCGAGTTGTTGTTAGTTCCTATGTGCTGAGGATTAGTTCGTAAAGTCATTTCTTGTGCCAATATCTTTAAGAGTTCTACCTTATTTTCCATCAAGTTTAGTGTTTCTTTTTTAATATTCATATCTTTAATTCACTTGGATTTTAGTTTAGTGAGTGGTGAAAGATACAGGTCTAGCTATAATCTTTGACAAGTTGAAATCCAGTTTTTCAAACACCATTTACTGAAGAGGCTGTCTTGGAAGAAAAGGGCTAAAGGTGTAGGGGAAGTGGAAAGGATAGGGGAAATGAAATAAGGTAAAAGAAAAAATATGAGAAAAGGAAAAAATGGAAACAAAGTCTTTGTAAATAGGGGAGCATCGAGGGGGTGAAGGGAGGGCAAGGTTATAGGGAAAAATGAGAACAAAGATCTGTCATGTAAAGGTACAAGATCCCAATGATAAACATAACTGTGCTGTATAGTTAAAAAGTACCAATAAATTCAAAGAAACAAAGGAGGCTGTCTTTCCTCCAGAGAGGGTGTTTGGCTCCTTTGTCAAAGATAAGGTTACTGAATATGTGAGGAGTTGTGTATGTTCCAATCTATTCCACTGATCCTCAGGTCTGTTTCTTTGCCAGTACCATACTGTTTTTATCACAGTGGCTTTGTAGTATATTTTGAGATTGGGGATTGTGATACCCTCTGCCATGTCTCAGTTGCCTAGAGTTGCTTTTACTATTCTAGGTCTCTTCTGATTCCGAATGAATGTTTGGATTACTTTCTCTAGGTCTATGAAATATACTGTTGGGATTTCAATAAGGATTGCATGGAGTCTATTAAGCAGTTTTGGAAGTATGGCCATTTTAACAATATTGATTCTCCCTACCCAGGAACAAGGGATGTCTTTCCATATTCTTATATCCTCTTCAATCTCTTTTATTTTAAGAGTGCTGTGGTTTTCAGTGTATAGCTCTTTTGTCTCCTTCATTAGACTGATTCCTAGATATTTAATTTTTTTTGACGCTATTGTGAAAGGGATTATTTCCCTAATTTGACTCTCAGTGAGACTGTTATTTGTGTACCAGAAGGCTATTGATTTTTGAGTATTTACCTGGTATCCAGCTACTCTACTGAATCTGTCAATCAAGTTTAGAAGTCTTTTGGCAGAGTTTTTCGGGTCTTGTATGTAGAGTATCATATCATTAGCAAATAATGACAATTTCACTTCTTCCTTTCCTATCTTTATTCCAATTTTCTATAGGGTTTTTATAATGAATGGGTGTTGAATTTTGTCAAATGCTTTTTCTGCATCTATTGAGAGGATCATATGGTTTTTGTCCTTGATTCTGTTAACATAGTGTATTACATATATTGATTTATGTACGTTGAACTATCCTTACATCCCTGGGATAGATCTGACTTGGCCAGGATGTATGATCTTCTTGATGACCCTCTGTATTCTGTTTGTCATTATCTTATTGTGGATTTTTGCATCTATGTTCATTAAGGAGACTGGCCTGTAGTTCTCTTTTTTGGTTGGGTCTTGCCCTGGTTTTAGAATCAAAGTAATACTTGCTTCCAGGAATCAATTTGGAAGTATTGCTGCTCTTTCAATTTCATTGAAAAGTTTAAAAAGTAGTGGCAATAGTTCTTCTTTAAATCTCTTGTAGAATTCAGCAGTGAAGCCGTCAGGACCTGGGCTTTTCTTTGTTGGTAAATTTTTAATTATGTTTTCAATTTCACTGATTGTAATTGGGGTGTTTATAATTTTTGTATCTTTTTTGTTCAACTTTGGTAATTCATATGTATCCAAGAAATCTGTCCATTTCTTCTAGGTTCTGCATTGTCTTGATTTACTGGGTTTTTTTTGTTTTTTTTTAGGGCGAGAAGCAATTCCACAACAGTCTGAACTGTTACGTGTGTGCACAGAAGAAACTAAGGATGTCACTGGTTCCTGAGCTCTGGCAGGACTTCTCATTCACATGTTGTAATCTATGCCACGACTGCCTTCCACAATCCCTGTCTGTTGTTGTTGCTCTTTGGTGAGTTCCTGTAGAGCCAGTACAGTGGCTGCTGGAAACTAGTGTGGCCTTCGATGGTGCCTGTACGTATGGAGAGAGGGGCGCAAAGTAACGGGTAAGATGTTGCAATTACACTGCGTCATTCTGAAAGTGCAAAGCCCCAATTTATGCATGTCTGAGAGAAATTAATGTACCCTATTTTGAAATGTGTTGAGAAATTCCAGCTGCTGTCCTCTGCATTTAAATGTCAGCCATCCTCCTCCCCAAATCTGAAGATTTAGTGTCTTGACAAAACTAAAAGCAAGCTCACAGTTGAGAAAATGGAATCCCTGGAGGCATCGGTCCACCAAATTCAGTGACTTGCCTCCCACAAGCTTAATAGAAGACTTGTAGAATTCAAGTTTTTCACATTTCTGGGAATTGTGTCCTTAGCTCCTTATAACAAGCCCCCTTTCATCCATGTGCCTCAGACCGCTTTAGAAAATCTTTAAGCTCACCACATACCAAGGAGGCA